ATTATCCTAGCGAATGGAAGGAGCTAAAACCTCTTTTTTGCCATCAAATCAGATTGGTTGAAGTCTGGCTAGTTGAAATGCAACGTCTCAAGTAAAACGAGACACGAGTATTTTAGTAGAGCAAACCAGTGACGCAGGAAAACAATGAAATAAAACCAAACCAAATACTAACAAATAGCGGCTATTTAGAGACAATTTGTCAGTATCAGTGAACCAGAAAAATATCAAAATGAATCTACGCCATTTTTAATTATTGATTTTTAAAAGTATTCGATTCCAATCAACTGTTCGCCCATTTCTCTTTGAGAGATATTTGGCAGTTGTTACTAGTATATAGTATGACGTTCAACCATTGCTGTTAAAAAAGACTGTTTTCCACGCCATATTTTATTGCGTATTCTTTGTACGTCGCACACAATAGGTTAAAGTCTCAGGTGAATAGACCACTTTCACAAGTGCCTACTATCGATTTTATATGATTGGCATATATTAAGGACTTAACATTCAGAATTGTTATATTGAGGATCTATCAGAAATAAGTAATTATGCAAAGTTTTGAAGATATAGACTAAATACTAACGAAGTTATGGAGGAATGAAAATACAAGGATTTGTAGAAATTCTTTACTGAGGCCTTAATGGTGACCTATAGTTTTTTGGTGTTTTTGTGCATCTTCCAAACCTTATAACTTCCAGAGGATTTAATTTTTTTCTTTGAAACTTTCAGAGCTTATATTTAGCTTTGATATCTATCATTTGAGTGTTTTATTGTCAACATTATAAATTTAACAATAATATGTTAATTAGTCTCAGCCATTGTGAAAGCTAAGTTGTGTATTGTCTCTAAATAGCCGCTATTTGTTAGTATTTAATTTGGTTTTATTTCATGATTTTCCTGCGTTTGCTTTTTAATGTACTTATTGCTATTATTTTTTATGCAGAACCTGATAGTGTCTTCATAATTTCACTCGGTACATTTTCGGTGGAGCCTGAAACCAAAGGAGAAAACAAAAGAATGAAGTATCTGTGGTTAATCGCTCTTCTTGGAACGATACATGCTTCTGTTGGAAAACCAACGGGTAARATTTTAAGCTGATTCTGTAAGCGTTAGCATTTTGGAGTGAAATAATGCCAGTAGATGAAATCAAGTGTTTTGATCTTTTTTGCCGCTAACAAGCAAGTTGGTTCAGTACTATTTTTGGTTCGCCCGATTTTGCAGCCAACTACCAAATAGTCTTCTTCACGGTTCCCTGCGCCAACTTGAAAGGACGTGCCTTAATTTGCATCGACACGAGACGACCGTTGAGCGTGCAATCATGATAGATTTGTCTCTCGGTCGTCTCGCTTCGATGTGAATGCACGCCGGCTACTTTTCAAGATGGCGCAGGGAACCGTCAAGGAGACTATTCATGAGACTATTCATGATTTAACCTTCAACGCCAGTATCAATGGTCTTTACGTGCAAGCWAGCAAGTGCAACCATTGGCTTAGTGCAAAGGCCAGAATTGGTGATTTCTTGTCAATGATAAATCGTGATTGAAAAATGCAGGAGACCAATTATTGTCCCTAATGATTCTCCAAACCGTTTTAATAGGTAACAATGCGAATTGTGGAAAACTACCAGACTTGACGACATCGAAACGCATCGTGGGGGGTAATGAGAGTCAGCAAGGACTATGGCCATGGCAAGCGGCAGTGTTGTTTAATAATAAACCGTTTTGCGGAGGTGTAATTATTAACGAACACTGGATCGCCACTGGTGCCCGTTGCCTAAAAAAAAAAGGTATGTATGTTTTTTTGCCTCAACTTTATATCAGTTATATCAGCTATTTGTCTTCCTAACCTCAGGTCCTTTCAGATTTAGTAGAGGAGTCTCCTCTACTAACTCTGGTCCTTCTATGGATCCTAAGCTACTCACCGTAGCACTTGGAGAACACAAACTTGGAGTGAAAGAATCGTTCGAGCAAATCAAGAACGTTCAACAAATCATCTCTCATCCTCACTTCAATTTCAGCTTCGATAAAAACAAGCTCCTTTTTGTTGATAATGATGTGGGTGAGTATGATTCGGAAACAATTGGTTAATATATATCAGTTAAAATGAGTATAATGCTACTGAAGGACGGCTTCCTAATATATATTTTTTTAATTTTTAATTGAGAGCTATACAGTTTAATTCAGATTCAAAACGTTTAGCCAAAACACTATTAAGACAAGAGACCGAGAGGCAATTGGTCTACTGCATGTGCTTATTATCATGCCTGCTTTTTGGACTGGAAATTGGTTCGCTTGTAACTATTTCTAAATGATTCTTTTCTCATTCTTTCAGCTCTTCTAAAACTCTCCACACCAGCTACCTTTGACACCTTTGTCAAGCCAATTATCATGACTTAACGACTAAGAGGGTTCCAAAGGTTAATTAGCATTTCTAATAACATTTTGTAGCAATTAGTATGGTCGGGAAATAAAGCTGATTAAAGACCAATTGGGTAGTTCATTTTTAATTTTAACTAATTATTTATTACTAATACTGACTCAGACTTAGGCACTATCAATTTTTTAACTCGAAGATTGCGAAGCAATCGAAGAGTTATTGGAGGGGGACGAATCTGTCACTCACTCAATCACTCACTCACTCACTCACTTTCCTGTAAACTTGAGCCTGCGTTATTTGTGTTCAGAACTATTTATTTATTCTCATTGTTCTCTATTAATTTTMTCATTAAGTTACCGTTACCGGGTTCCCTGTTCTATATTTGACTGAATTTATTTATTTTTTGGCAAAGAAAGAAATCTAAAGAAATGTCAGCTCCTCCGAGTCTTGAACTTCAGACCTCTGAATTAAGCCCCGTCTAGACAAGCAATTTTTATGTGACAATTTTTAATTGCCCGCGGTAGATGAGCAAAATTGGACAAATTTTATGTGACAATGTGTAGTTACTGGAAAGCTGGCATGCTAGT